TTGAACAGGTATGCCCAGGTTTCAACAGTGGTTCAATTTACCCCCTGACCTGGATCAACTTACCCCTAACCCGGGGCAAGTTGAGCCACAAGACTTTTTTTTTTAAAGAAGTAATATTTTCACTGCCCTTGATCAAATATTAATTATTATCATTGCCATTGATCGGAGGCATCCTGAATTATAGGTCTGTGTTTTCATTTTTACTTTGTGTCATTTCTCCTTGCTTAGAGGACAGCATAACTAAAAAATGGCTCAACTTACCCCACTCTCCCCTATGCCCCTTATATGTTTCTTTATAGGCCTACTCCCCTTCTTTAGGTCCTGTGCACATATTACATTTCTTACTCCAATACATGTATTCTTTGACTATCTTTCAGATACAGATTATTTACGCACAATAAACACATAGCCTAGCGTATGGATAAAGATTAGAGTTGACTCAGACCTGGCAGAGGATATAGGCCAAGTTCAAAAAAAGAAAAGAAAAACACTTACAAGCTTTAATATTGGTGGTATAACCGATTAATGCACTGTACATGAGTATAGGATATACTATACACTCTGAAATGGACCATTCTGCATACTGAGTAATTTTACTTTCCTCTTTTTCTGTTTGGTATATTTTTGATACTTTGAAGCAGAGTATTTCTACTTGTGGTATTGCTATTTTTTAAAAGTAAAATATCTATTTACTCTCACCACTGGTCAACAGCATTTAACTTTTGCTGGTTGACGTGGACCTCCTTTTTCTACTTTTCATACAGTAGTGAGGTCCAGTCATTTGCAAATGTTATTGATTGGGCTTCACAACCCATATGGCTTTTTCTTGAGATGATTAACAGGGCAATACAGAGGAAAAAATCCTTCTGTAATGTATTGATTGTATTGTATTGAATCTTGACTACTTCGATTATTGTCTCTGCCCATACATATGGCTCGGGTGCCCCTATAAATAAACTGCACTGTTTTGAAAATGTCCTTAAGCGTTGACTAAATATCACCTGAAGATGGGGCTCTTCCAGGCCCGGTTCTACAGGGGTGCATACGCATGGATTTCTTTTTTTTCAAAAAAAGAAAAAAGGGAGCGAAATATATTAGAAATATAAAATCAATAATAGAATACAATACTGCGCGTGCATCATTTCCAAAGAGCTTCAAGCAGTGACACACATCTGTGGATAATCACGGATATATGAAAATGGTTAAAGCAACCATCCTTAAACGCCAGCAACACTGCATAGGTCTACTGCAGACAATAACAACAGGTCTGATGGGGACGTTACGTTACCCTCCGTTGTGGACACTAGCTTTCTCCCGCCCGACTCACCGCCCCCGGAGCAGCAGTCTTCGTCCCCCGAAACAACGTCGGCCATCGGTGGCCCGCAGGTGCCTGCCCAGGTATATCTAAGCGTACCCGCCTGTACAGTGGGGTAAGGCGGTCCTTTTGCAGCTCGTGGTATAAAGGTAGACAATGGCTAGAATATTCATGTGAAAATAGTGCCATATTCTGCCATGCCTGTAGAAATGTTGGGTCAAATAATGCATACAATAGCACAGATGCCTTCACCACGAATGATTACAAAAATATCTCATATCCCAAGCTTATCAACAAGCTGATGTTGCAGCTGAAATGTTCTCCAGGTCACAAAGTCAACCTCACATGATGATGTGATACCAGTTTTCAAGCACAGTAAATATTCTCTTCCCAGAGTAGGCCTATGGGACCCAGGTGATGATGTAGGCCTACATGGTTTTAATAATACTTTTGCTTTTCAATGTTTGCCATTTCAAACCATGAGTTGGTTCAAATAATATTTGTATCAGTACAGTTTTTAAGCTTTTGTGCTTTTCTTTGCCATATTCCACTTTGGACTGGATGAATTATTTCAAGATTGCACTTTCAACACATGAAATGTTCTCACTTGCTTGGTTTCTAAACATACCATATTGCCATAATCTGTTCATTGGCTGAAATAACAAGGGGATGCAAATCCTGGCAGGTGGAAAAGCAGCGTTGCCAAATAATGCATCCATAGTAACTTTGTTCCTAAGGACACTTCAAATCTATGTAAATATGATATCCTCTGTTGTTTGTTTGTTTGTATGTTGTTTTTATGTTTCATGTGGAACTAAATGATGCAGTGGTCTCCCTTGTAAATGAGATCGATGATCTCAAGGGACCAATCTGTCTAAATAAAGGTTTGAAATGAAATGAAATGTGAACGACAACATTATTCTATTTAATTTGCAGGACAATAGGTCGAAAAAGGAATTTGCCAAAGCTGTGAACGTTACATCTGTCCTTGTTCTTTGTGGACTTTCTGTGTTCAAATAAAAAAAGAAAATGCCTTATCTTCACATTACAACTAAACTAACAAAGCAACAAGCAAATAATCCGGGCAAATAGAGGATATGAG